CTTCCAGGGTCCAACTTCCGGGCGAAGTCGCAAGCCTGTGCAAAAAGGGCTTTGGGCTTAGGGTTCAGGGTTTAGGGTTTGGGTTTAGGGTTTAGGGTTTGGGATACAAGCCAGAAAGCTAGAGCATCATGATCCTGCATGCGAATCCGACCCCGGCATACATCATCCTTAACCCATAGTACTCCAACCTTCTGAAGTTCGCTGTAAGGCTTTCGAGTTTAAGGCTCAGAGCAACTCCAACTTTTGCAGTCTCGGAGCCCTGGGGACTTGTGGGAATTTTCTGAAGCGGTTAAGGTGCATTTCCGGTGTACAGGATCCCATGATAAGGAGATCTTGGTGGGCTGTGGTGGCTCGGTTGCCCACGGTTTAGGGTTTAGGGTTTTAGGGTTTAGGGTTTTAGGGTTTAGGGTTTAGGACACACTCACTCAGGCACTCAACCCCCAAAAATCCAAACCCCTAAAGCCGCCAGGCCAAACCCCCAAGCCCACAACCCGACACCCTGAAACCAGAACCCTAGACCTGACCCCCTGACCCACACGAAATAATTTAGAGGCTCAAATAATTACCAATACTATGTTTGGGAGTTCCTGATTATAATTATACTACAGTATCCCAAAAACCCTATTCTAATTTTAAGGCCAAATCCAACAGATCTTACGGCCCTCGAAGCGCCCTAGGGAGACAGCGGCAAGGCGGCCGAGCGACGCAGACAAACAACGAATCTCGAGCTACAAAGATGGGCTTTCCAAAATGAGGGTGTGGAAGGGTTCTACTAAAGGTTCTGAAACGTTGGCTTTAGGATCGGCCGTCGAAAAGTATTCCCGGGCTGGGTTTGAGGCTGCTGTGGCTTATCTCTTTCTCCAGGGCAAGCATGGGCATGGGGCCTGTGTCTGGGCTAAAGTTCCAGTGGCCTGATTTTAAGCCGGAAACTCGTTCTCCAAGAGATTTTCTGGAAGGCTCATACCTTAAGGACGGCATGCCCCTTAAAATAGGGTGCAGGGGGCATGACGCTGTGGTCTGTAAGAATACACAGTCTTGTATCCTACGCCATCCCTGCCGCTGGCGGGGTATATGGAATCTGAACGGTTGCCTTAAACCTCTACGGATCTGTAAGGGTTGATTTGGTCCGGAATACGAGCTGACAAGGCTCCTATTCGTGTTGCAATTCTGCCTGCTGCCGCGTGCGTATGAGAGTGAGGCTTACAGGAACCTGCGATGCATTGACTGGGTTCTTGTTAAGGGATTTAATTGAAGTTACCATAATAAGGAAACCATATTATTTACTATAGATCCCTATTATGGTAACTTCAATTAAATCCCTTAACAAGAACCCAGTTGAACAGTCATGTAGGCTTACTCAGCGACCACAGGCGCTATTGGATAAGGAATAGGAAAGGTCCTAGGTGCTAAACACCAACAAGGGATAGTTTAGGGCTGATCGCAATCATATGCCTGAAGCAGCGAGAAACCAAACCGGCTGCTTCAGATCACCAAAGGGCAAGAGGCACGACCCGAAACCCGCTAAGATCATCACTTCACTTGCGGGCGAACTTGCCCGGAAACCCTACTTAAACCCCCAAACCCTACCCCTGCAACCGGCAAGACATTCACGACCAACGATCAGAAGAAGAGGTTGATGGAGCAATTTCAGCCCGCTTCAGTCTTGTGGCATGAGTCTCAGTCATACCTAGACTATAAGTGTTGTTCATCATCACATCATCCTCAGGTTCATCAGAAATGCGAATGGTTTTGGGCGTAGAGCGCAGCATTCAATGATATGTGGTTTGCTTACGTTTCGGGCTAAGGAACTCGGGGGGCGTTTCTTAAGTTCCAGGACTTGGGGTTCAGGGTTTAGGATTATGGGGGGCCCTAAGCCCATCCTAAATGCTGAACCCCAAAGCACCAAAACCCCAAAGCCCAAAACCTTAACCCTCTAAACACCAAAACCCTAAAACCCCAAAGCCCAAAACCTCTGATTAACCCCCGA